GAATTTCTCACAAAATTTTGGGGATTTTTTGTGAAATTTTCAGATTTTGTGGGGATTTTGGGGCATTTTTTTTGCAAATTTTTGGGGATTTTTTTTTTTTTAAATTTTCAGGATTTTTAACGGATTTTTTGGAATTTTTTTGGATTATTTTTCAGAATTCTTGAGATTTTTTTTGCAAAATTTTGGGGATTTTTTTTTAAATTTTCTGGGATTTTTGGGGGGTTTTTTGGGGATTTTGGGGGGATTTTTGGGAGGCTTTTTGGGAATATTTTAGGGATTTTTTGGGAAATATTTGGAGGATTTTTTAGGAAAATTTTTTTTGACTTTTAGAGAATTTGGGGATATTTTTTGGGGGAATTTTTTTGTGGTTTTTTGGGGATTTTGGGGGAATTTTGGGAGGATTTTTTGGCATTTTCGGGGGGAATTTTTGGGGATTTTTTTGGAATTTTTAAAGGGATTTTTGGGATTTTTTGGGGATTTTTTGGGGGAATTTTTGGGGGATTTTTTTGGAATTTTTAAGGCATTTTTTGGGGATTTTTGGGGATTTTGGGGGAATTTTTGGGGGATTTTTGGGGAATTTTTAAGGGATTTTTTGGGATTTTTGGGGGATTTTTTGGGGGAATTTTTTGGGGATTTTTAGGGGATTTTTTAGGATCTTGGGGGAAATTTTTTAAGGGATTTTTGTGGGATTTTTTGGGGTTTTTTTGGGGATTTTTTGGGATTTTTTTGGGATTTTTGGGGTCTCCTCACCTTGTTCCTCCGGCGCCTCCCGGGGACACTTTTGGGGTAACCCTCGAGATCCTCGTCCTCATCCTCTGCAAAAAAAACCAAAAATTCCCCAAAATTCCCCAAAATTCCCAAAAAATCTCCTTAAATTCCCCTAAAATAAAAAAAAATCCCCTAAAATCCTTTAAAATCCCCAAAAAAAAACCCCCAAAAAACCCCAAAAAAACCCCATTAAAATCCTCAAAAAATCCCCAGAAAAATGAAAAAAAAAATCCCCAAAAATCCCCTTAAAATCCCCGAAAATTTCCCCAAAAAATCCTCAAAAGTCCCTTAAAATCTCCCAAAAATCCCTTAAAAATTCACTTAAAATCCCCAAAAAGCCCCAAAAATCCCCCAAAAAATCCCACAAAAAAATCCCAAAAAATCCCCCCAAAAAGCCCCAAAAATCCAAAAAAAATCCCCCCAAAAATCCCCAAAATTTTCCCAAAAAATCCAAAAAAACCCCAAAAAATCCTTTTAAAACCCCCTTAACATTCCC